CCTGATTGTAAGATGGAAACGCATCATCGATAAGAATGGAGACTATTTCATTTCATAAATGTTTTATTTTTATATAATTTTTTATGGTTTTTCATCTAATAAAAAGTGACATTAATTTCTTGACGACCTAATACATGTAACAGTTCATACATTTTGTACCTTTTGCTGACTGTTCAGTGTTAGATGTTTTGAAAAGTGTTTTGATTTATTTTTCATGTTGGTTGATTTGATGTAAATTATGTATGATTTATAGGTAGGCTTTTGTAAATTAAATTTTTTGTTTCTTGTTGATGTTTTTTGAGTTAGAAATGTAAGGAATATTAAACAAATCTACCATAAGAATAGTTATTTTAATTAGTAACTTTTGTATTCACATTTTATTTAGTAATTAAAGGAGAAGAAAAAAAAGTTGATTATCAAAAGGCTTATTTTTACTGTTTTTTCATTATTCTAAAAATTAACTGAATTGATTTTTTTTTATATTCTAATGGCAAAGTATGATTATAAAGGAGCATAGAAGAAAATACAATAGGCATTGTTTTGTTATGATTGGAGGAATTAGTGTTGGTTCAACAAATCGGTAAAAATGTGTTAAAATAATTAATATTTTTCTATTTAATTCCACGTCTAATTAATTTTAACCAAAACATGTCCATTTTTTCAACTTGTTTCCAGGTAGGTGTGGTTTATTGATTGATTTATTAAACAATTTGGTGACAGAATAATAATTTCAAGTTTTTGTGTTTTAAATGTACTATCTATGAATTAAATAAACAAGTGAAGTTCTGTCAGTGTTATGGAAAACTAGTTGTGTGATTACTAAAGTTGTACATGATTTGGGTACTAGAAAGGTAATTGTGATGATCTACACTTAGCAATCAGAAGTACTGATGTGTAATGTTAACTAGTATTTTTCAACATGTACTCACCAATTTTTGCTTCTTTCCCCCATTTTAATTCGTAGCGTAGGTATCGAGGGTGGTAATCCCCCACCTACACACTAAATCACATCCTGACTATTTGCGAGACCAATGCACAGGCAAGTTTTACAAGTTTGCTTATCTAAGAGCAATCAGATGCACAGGCGTTTTAACTGTCTCCTGGTAAACTGAATCTTCTATATATATATATATATGTGTGTATGTTTTATGAGTAAACAATTTGGTAAACATAGTTACTAGTTTTAGTAGTTGCGTTAAACATTGGGCTGAAGCATGAAAAGGTGAAATTAACTCCTGCTGTTGGTTTCTATCAGTATGTCTATTAAATATTGAACTGAGTAATATAAATGTTGACTCAGTGTTAATGTAGTTTAAAACCTCAACATATAACTCTTAAATAACAAAAATTTAGGTTTAAGAAATGAAGTAGGGTTTATTACATTATTTCTTTGGCTACTCATGGGATTAACTCCTTATTACGTTTCAGCATAATTTAAATAACCTCTATGCTGCTCTCTGTATATTTGGCATCAGATGTATACTTTTAACTCTTTTATAGTTGGGCTATTTATTGCTGATGCTGCACATAGAGTATCATACATAGGCAAAGAAATACAATCAATAACCTCATAGTTTGAAAAGTTTACTGGGTTTTATCAGTCAAAATGTTTTATTTTCCTGTTCATGTACTGTTTATATAGCTTTTTATTGTTAATTCATTTTTCCTTCAACTGAATATTTATGAAATCAAAGCAGCAACTTGTTACTAAAGTCATTCAGACTTCATTTTGTAAAACCATGTTTTATATCTTACTTGGATATCTTTTTTTTTGTAAACATTTAGATATCTCAATAAGATTAATGAGCACAAGATACGAAGAAAGGGTCACTGGTTTACAACTCAAAAGGTTTTAAAAAGTAATGAATTTTATATATTTTTATTTAAGCTAATGGAACTTCTGGTGCCTATATCTTTAAGCTCCACTTAGATACAAGAGATATTATAAAACATTAAAGCTTCTACACAACAAAAATTAAACACTTATTTAAAGACTGAAAGAGTATCTGCCAGTCATATTTGTAATTTCTGCATTTTTAAATGTTCAGAGCCATGTGTGTTTTCTATTGTGCAATCCTGTTGATGCGAGAGAAACTATAACACATTTAGTATAGTGGTTGCAGTATGTTCTAGGCTAGAAGTGGTAATTGTGTGCATGTACAACTTTCCTCATAATAAAAAGCTGTTCAGGAACTAGTGTTTAAGAAATACAGTCATTTACAAATAATTGTCTGCAGAGTAATATTTCCCCATACTACAAAAATGTAAGAATGTGGGAAACTGCATTTTAATTCATAGTAGTTTTTGTTAACATGTTAATAGCATAGACATGTAACTTTCCTTGATCTAATCGTGAATATACGGTTACACCATACAATGGACCTTCGGCCAGTATTGAAATCAGTATTGTCAGTGCAAATTAAAAAAATGCAACCAACTGAAATATATATTCATTGTAAAACATGCTCCACATGGCATTTCATGTTGATCAAGAGTATTAATGAATATCAGTTGGGTATTTGTATTCAAAATATCTGCAGATTTGAAAATAGAAATGATTTATTGAAATTTTGACTGATGTTAGAGCAACATACCACAAGTTTCTATTGAAGTTGACTCAGGGCTGAATTTTTTTTTTTGGTGGGGGGTTATTGGGTGCAATTGCTCTTCTTCTCCTGCAACTAACAACACAATTCTAGTATTTTGGCACTTGTGTATAAAGTTAAAATCATAAATAATATTCAACATTAAACTGGTACACAATTAAA